CAGAAGTCTTCTTCTGAAGTTGTAGAGCAGGATATGGAGTCAGGGGTGTGGAGGTAGGGGGTAGGGGTGTGCAGTCTGGGGTTGTTGGGCAGGCTTTAAAGGGGTTCAAAACACCATTTTTAAAAATGAAACATTCTAGGTCAGCAAGATAGTTCAGTAGGTAAAGGCACTTGCTACCAAGAAGCCTGAAGACCTGAGTTCAATTCCAGAAATCTACATAGTGGAATGAGAGAACTGACTCCTGAAAGTTTAGCTTTCTATACCTATACCCACCCACACCCATACTCAAAATACATGAATGTAAAAATTAATTAGACAAAACATTCTGACACAATCCAATTCAAAGATATACTAATTTGTTACTCCCATATTTAGGAATAACAACAGGAAAATATTAAACATTTTCGTTTCTGTAATTAAGTTCCCTTAAGAGAAGAAAACCTTGTATGCACTGCTATTGGTAGCACACCATAGTCCTGGGTCTAAGCAGAGGTGATTTCGGCAGTGCTGGTTGGCATTGTGGGATGGGAGGGTGTGTGCCCGGCACGCACTCATATCATTATTCAAGGTTACAGTGATGTCGTGCGATACAGCACAGGCGGAAACTGCCAAAAACACCCTGCAATTACATGTTTGACTTTGAGTTTATATTATATATTTTTTTATCTGTAGGCATTCAGAAAACAAATCGTAGTGCAGTCAAATTTTCCTTGGCCCCACATTCTGTGTGACCCCACGGGGAGGTGGGTGAGATCCGCAGTTTCGGAAGCTGTGTCCCAAACAACGAATGCCCTTTCCTGAGATAGGAGCTGTGAATGCAGAGCGTGTAGTGCACACCTGTGGGGGATTCTAGTCAAGCAGAGGCAACTTCTTTTTCTCTCTTGTTTTGGCTGTTGTCAATAATGTTGCTTTTTGGTCCTTTGAGACAGGGTCTCAATAAGAATAGAGAACTTTCTATCTACAATGAAAACGCTGTCATTCACAACAGGATAGTTATAAATTGATCCAGCTGGCTGATCAAGGTGGAAGACAACTCACTATGTAGCTAAGCATAGCCTTGAACTCCCGATCCTCCTATGCTACCACACTGACCCCGGGTAGCACATTTCAGCATGTCTCCTTAGTCGTCTTGTCTGAGTTCATGCCCAACTCCTTCCTCCTGACCATGTCATCTTGGGAACCTTTTGGACTGCTTTGGGCCTTAATCTCTCCACTGTAAATTGGGCCTAAGAGTAGACTCCAGCCTATATAAATTGCCACAGTCAAAGGACTTGGGACAGTGGCTCGTGCAGTAAGACAACACTATACAAATGTCACCTGTGATTATTGTCATGGTGATGACATCAGTGGAAAGCTGTGCTCTGCTTGCTCCAAGAGTGGGGGACACCACTGATTTGGTAGGGGCAGAGATTGACTAAAGATAAATTAATGTAGTTTAGGGGGCTAGAGAGATGGCTCAGTGGGTTAAGAACACTGGCTGCTCTTGCAGAGGACCCAGGTTTGATTCCCAGCACCCCAGGTTGGCTCACAACTATCTGTAACTCCAGTTCCAGAGACTCTGACTTCATCCTCTGGTTTCTCCGGGCTCTGCATGAATGTAGTGCACGGAAATACATGCAGGCAAAACACCCATACACATAACATATTTTTAAAAAGATAAATCAGTACTGTTTCATCTCAAATAGTGAGGCTTGATTTCAGAGCCCCAGTCACTTTGGTATGAAGGTCCATTATCCTTGGAAGAAAAGACACTTCCCCACCCCTGAACCTGTAGACTCCTTAAATCTTCAATAGTCTGTCCTTTTGTGGGAAATAGAGGCAACAAGAAGAAAGTCCCAGATCGAGAGACTGGAATGAAAACAAAATGCTGAAGCAAAAACAAACGGAAAGAATCGAAGCTACTTATTGTCCTATCGTGGCCCAGATTTCACTGTGTCACAGTTCTCTAGGCTCTGGTTCTCTGTTATCTGCTCTGTCTCAACACATGTTTCTAAATCACCCTTCCTTCCTTCCTTCCTTCCTTCCTTCCTTCCTTCCTTCCTTCCTTCCTTCCTCTCTCTCTCTCTCTCTCTCTCTCTCTCTCTCTCTGTCTCTCTGTCTCTCCCTCCTCCCTCCCTCCCTCCCTTCCTTCCTTCCTTCCTTCCTTCCTTCCTCCCTCCCTCCCTCCCTCTCTCCCTCCCTCTCTCCCTCTCTCTCTCTCTCTCTCTCTCTCTCTCTGTCTCTCCCTCCTCCCTCCCTCTCTCCCTCCCTCCCTCTCTCTCTCTCTCTCTCTCTCTCTCTCTCTCTCTCTCTCTCTCTCTCTCCTCCCTCCCTCCCTTCCTTCCTTTCTTCCTTTGTCTTTTCTTTCACATCCTGGCCGAAGCTTCCCCTCCCTCCTCCTCTCCTCCCAGTCCTACCTTCCCACCCCATCCCCTCTGTGTCCCCCCCCCCCCCCCCCCCCCGTGCGTACGTGCATGCCCAAATCCACTCCTCCTGGGGCAGGTCTCCCATGGCATATCAAGTTGTAGGAAGACTAAGCACCTTCCCATGTATTAAGGCTGGCCAAGGCGAACCATTATGAAGACGAGGGTCTCAAAAGCCAATAAAAGAGTCAGAGACAGCCCCTGTTCCCACTGTTAGGAGTCCCACAAGAGGATCAGGCTACACAACTGTCACGTATATGCAGAGTGCCTAGATCAGTCCCATGCAGTCTCTCTGGTTGTTGGTTCAGTCTCTGTGAGCCCCTATCAGCACAGATTAGTTGATTCTGTGAGTTTTCTTGTGGTGTCCGTGACCCCCTCTGGCTCTTACAATCCTTTCTCCCCACTGTACTACTGCAGGATTCCCCAAATTCTGCCTAATGTTTGACTGTTGGACTCTTTATCTGCACCCATCAGTTGCAGGATGAAGTCTCTCTGGTCTCTTTGATGAGGATTCTGCTAGGCTCTGGTCCCAGAACACTCTGCACACAGGACAAATTGTAGGTTGAAGGTTTGGTGGCTGGGTTGGTGTCCCAGTCCCTCTACTTGAGGCCTTGTCTGCTCAGGTAGATTTTGAAACACAATTATTCCCGCCCCATACCAGGCCTACAGAACCACAACATTCAGGATGCAGTCTGTATATGTACGTTTTAAAATCACTTTCCAAGTAGTGCAGATGACCAACAAGCTTTGGAAATCATCTGTGTTGCTTCTAATGTAGTTTCCTATGAATTCTGGTCTCTCTTCCTTCTGAGAGGTTTCTTGTAGCACACACTGAATTTGCTACGTAGCTGAGAATCGAGTTCCTGATCTTCCTGCCTCCACCTCTTCAGTGCTGGGATTACAGGTGTGAACCATCCCAACTGACTTACTCTTTCATTATTTCAACCAACATTCATTATACCTGTCCCACGCTAGGCTCTAGGGAAACAGGTGAAAAGCCTGTCATCTTTGCCTTTGAAGGGTTAGCGTGATAAAGGACCAAAATGAGAACATTCACAATTCCTAGACATGGTCTAAACACATCTCTTCTAGAGATCTTCACTTCTGGGCTCCTTAGCACCCCGACACTGTCAGCCTTGATCGACAAGCCAGACTCTCCCCTCCCTACCCCCATTATTCTAGTTGACAACCCCCATGTATGTGTATGTTTTAATTTTGAGACAAAATATACAGGTTAGCCTCTAATTTACAATCCTCCTGCCTCAGCCTCCCAAGTGCTGGGATTATAGGCATATACCACTACATTACTCTCATACTTCTTGAAAATCACTATCCTCAGACCCAGAAAGAAACAAGAATTTGTCCAAAAATAAAATAAAGGTCTGAGAATACAGCTCAGTGGTAGAGATTTTTGTCTAGAATTGGGGCCTCTGGTTTAATCCGAGTATTGGGGAAGAAATACTCCAAAGTTAAATAAAGACAAGAGATAGTATTTATAGTGATTTCCATGTGCCGCTCATTATTATTATTATTATTATTATTATTATTATTATTATTATTATTATTTTGTTTTTTGAGACAGGGTTTCTCTGTGTAGCTTTACGCCTTTCCTGGAACTCACTTGGTAGCCTAGGCTGACCTCGAACTCACAGAGATCCGCCTGGCTCTGCCTCCCGAGTGCTGGGATTAAAGGCGTGCGCCACCACCGCCCGGCCGCTCATTATTTTATGTACTTAATAATGTAATCTTTTCAAATTTTCACAACAATCTATGAGAGAGACATTACTCTCTCCACTCTGTGATGAGGAAGGAAGCATTGATTTAACTTGCCCAGCTGCATACCAAGCAGAATTAACGTTAAAAAATGTGTATGTTTGGATCTGCAAGTGTGAGTACACCACGTGTGGTGCTACTAGAGGCCAGAAGAGCGTCGGATCCTCGGAGCTAGAGTTAGAGGCAGTTGTGAGCTGCCTGACATGGGTTCACGGAACTGAACTCTAGTCTCGTGCAAGACAAGCAAAGGCTCTTAACTGTTGAGCCATCTCTTCAGCTCCTTTTAAACCGTATGTTCACATCCAGATAGGGGCAGTGCTGTAAAGAGAGCAACCCAATTCCCAGGCCTAAGTACTTTTACTTTTCTGGCGCTCTGTGTCCTTGTTTTGCTACTCAGATTCAAGCAGGAGATCAAAGACAGGGTCTTGCATCACCCATAGGCTATTGTAGGTTGTGGGTGCTTAGTAGGTGCTCAGTAAATGCTTAGTGAAGAGGCTGTTCCATCTCACAGACGGCAGAATGGATCAGGATACTCTACTGCCGTAGAGGATTAGAGGTTGAATCCAGAGCCTCACACATGTTAGGCAAAAGTTGGACCACATAAAAAGCCAGACAGACACTAACTACATCCACAGCCCCATGATGATTTAAACAGACCAACAAACAAGCACAACAGAGCACCCTTCCCTTCCCTGCCCAAAAGTAAGGCCCTCCATCCAGCTCCCTTCCTTGGCCCAGCACACACTCTGCGTTCTGTCCTCCCAGCCAGCAGGTGCCCCTAGACCCCCGGCTCCTCCTCCGCCGCCGTCACAGCTTCGCCCCCCCCCTCCCCTCCCTCTACAGCTTCCTGTCGCCGCGATCCGGGCCCTGGGCTGTGGGCGCCCCGGCGCCCGAGGCTTCTCGGTGCGCTCGGCCAGGTAACAGCGCTCGCCGGCGGGATGGGCACCGGCCTGCCCTTGGCGCAGGCGGGGAAGGAGGCGGGCGGGCGGCCAGATGCGCTCGGGCTCCTCTGCCCCGGGGCGCCGGGGCCTCTTTGCGCCAAGCTCTGGGCACCCGGCTGGATGCCTAGATAACGGTCCAAGATGGGGCGATCCGGGCTGGAAGCCGGGCGTGCCCGGGGCCTTGGGGCACGTCCCACCGCGGGAGGCGATCTTGCTGCTGGCTTGAAGCCCCGGGCTGTAGCTCGCCCGAGGCCTGGAGCCAGGCGCCCGCCCAGCGCCGCTGCTCTCCGGGATGGAGGAGCCCGGGCACCGAGCTGCGAGGGCCTGGGAACCTCCCAGACCCCACACTGGACACGAAGGCTCAAGGTCACAGAGCTGCTTCTGCCTTTTACAAATGCCCGCTTTTTACTGGAGTGTTTGTAAATGGGCTACTGTTTCCTGTCTTGGGCCAGGGAATTAGGATTCAGAGAAGAGGACTCTAAAAATACTAATCGCCGAGTCCCAATCAGCTGATCCGCCTTACTGGCCAATGACCCTGGCCTTTCAAAGGAAGTAAGAGGGACAGCGCTTTTCACTAGGGTACTTTGTATGTCTGGCCCTTACTCTGAAGATTGGCCTAGAAGTTTCAGAAAATGTGTCTTAGAACTGAACTGACCTTTCCCCCTCCCATTTCAGCCCTTTTTCTGTTCCCTAATTTTAATTTAAACACATTCTTCAGGTTAAGTGATTTCCTTACTTACAGGTTTCTGATGGACACCTACTGTTTTCTTGAATGGGAACCTGATTTCTCATGAAAGCTGGACAAAACTTGCCCTTTGCCCAAGCTCTCTCTGGATAGCATTCCTGGGAGTGGCTCGTGTATTGAGGGGTGTCGGTCCGCATTTGTTAGAAAAGGGTTGAGCGGTTAAGTGCAGCCATGCAGAGAATTCCTGCAGAGATGAGACACGTAGCTGGTAGCTGACGTGTTTAGGATTTCTTTTTTATTTGTACTTTCAACAGAGGAACTAATGTATATTAACAAAGACATCTTAGTCCTTTTTGGAGTCTACTTTTGTATGATTAAAGTAACTCAGAGTTGACTATTCTTGTCTAAATGTATCAGCAAAATTTAAAAATCTAAGTTTTCTGACTTTAACATCTCTATCATTATCTATCCACCATCCATCCATCCATCCATCCATCCATTCATCCATCCATCATTTTGAGACAAGGTCTTACTTTGTAGCCCTGGTAGGCCTGGAACTCACTGCGTTGACCAGGCTGAGCTCCTACTCAAGGTGATCCTCCTGCCTCTGCTGCCCCAGTGCTAGGATTATAGGCACTTACCAGCTGCTTTGCCTCACTTTTAACTGCATAATTGCCTTGAGGATATTTTTGTATCTCAACATTTACTTAAAAATCCTTTTGCTTCCTTGTTGATAAATAATAGAGTTGGGATACCTTCCAAGAGGTCTGGAGTCTTTGTTTGGCTCTCTATTTACATTTGCCTCAAGTTTTGATTTTGACTGATAAACCTATGACCCAAATCCAGACCTCAGCCGAATTTAGTTTCAGCTTAACCACATTAAAATGCCTGGTATCATGTGACTTCTAGCAGAAACCAAAGTGGTATTTTATTTATTTATTTTTATTATTATTATTTTTTTATGAGATCTTTGCCTCTGTGTGCTGCAGTGTGTGTTCATGGTGTGTGTGTGTTTGTGTGTATATGTGTGTGTGTTATTCCTCTGTCCTGGTCGACCTTGCTCTTTGAGATAGGGTTTCTCAACAGGAATTAATCTTCTCCATCTCCCCAGCACTGAGATTACTAGCATGCACTGCCATGCTTTTTTTTTTTTTTAACATGGGTCTGGGACTCTAACTCAGGTTCTCCTGTTTACAGACTGAACTGTCTTTGCTCCCTTCCCCTTTGGTGTCTGATACTGGGAACTGAACCAAAGGCTTGCCCTGTGAAAGGCAAGTGCTCTACCACTGAGCTGCACCCCTAGTCCTTTTCCATTGTTTTGAGGCATGGCTTCTGTAATAGCTCAGGCTGGTCTTGAACCTGCTGTGTAGACCATGCTGACGTCAGACTTGGCATCCTCCTAACTCAGCATCCTGAGTAGGCTGAGATTACGGGCACACACCACTATGCCTGGCTAGTGCTGGGATTTGTGAAGTGCGAGTGCATTATCAGGTACCTGAGCCTTGCTGCCTGTGTATCACCATCCAGATTCAGGGTTCTCTGAAAGGTTATTATTGACATTGGGTCGTTAGTTAAGTGTGGAGTTCTCTTAATAATTCATCGGGCTGTTGCTGGTTTCCGGGACACAGCTTTCATCAGGTGCTGACATAGTATTTCCAGGGGGCTTGCAGTCATAAATACAGCAGCCACATTTATGTCCAAGAGTCTTGGATACATATATAGTAAAGAATTTCAGTAAAGGTCATGCCTTCATATCATTTTAGAGTAGCAATTCGGGCATATGCACAACACGAGCCGCTGCTGTTTTCTTAGGGTGCATCCTTTGTTTTCCTGGTTTTGGTCTCTTCTGTCATAGGATGGCATTAAGTCTGTGTCTGCAGGTGCTGTGCAGCCTGGGAGGCTGGCTCTCACTCTATACATCTTTCTGCCGCCTGAATAAGCACCGAAGCTATGAGTGGAGCTGCCGGCTGGTGACCTTCACCCACGGAGTCCTCTCTATAGGCCTGTCTGCTTATATTGGCTTCATTGATGGCCCTTGGCCTTTTACCCACCCAGGTAGGTAGAAGGGACAGTAGAGATTTTTCTTAGGGATTTATGATGGGGGCACTTGAAAAAATAGATTTGTATAATAATGAAGAATAATTTCCCTTCTAATAATTTGTATTGCAGTCTTCATTATTAACTTGGATGTTGTGTATGTCACTACTGGCCTCTGCTTTTCATAACTCTTTTGTACTGTTGGGGTTCTTTCTTTTCTTGTCTTTTTTTGTGGTACTGGGGATTGAATCTAGGGCTGTGCACATGTTAGGCACTGGGCTGTGTCCCTCTTCTCTTCTCTATTTTCATATATATATTTTGAGAAGGTCTCACTAAGTTGACCAGCCTGGCTTGGCTACTCACTTGGTAGTCAAAGCTGGCCTTGAATTTATGATCTTCCTGCTTCAGCCAGCGGAGTAGCTGGGATTATAGGCTTTTGCAATTTTATTGTTGATTTTTTTTGAGGCAGGTTCTTGTTTTATAGTCCAAGCTGACCTCAAATTTCTAATCTTTCTATCAAACTGAAATGAAACAAATTCTGCAGTTTTGTGTTTTATTTGAAGGTCCTTAATGATTTTTAAATATGTCAGGTCATTGTACTTCATGTCATTGAACATGAGGACACTCTGGGAGTTCTCTCTGGAGTCTGCTTTCAGGATGGGTTAGAACTGCCAGTGTCCAGTAACGCAATCCTCTGGGTTAATCAATGAATCTGAGCTGGGGGGTGTTGGTGGTGCACACCTTTAAGTGGGGGCAGAGGCAGGTAGATCTCTGTGATTTTGAGGGCAGCCTGGTCTACAGAGCAAGTTCCGGGACAGCCAAGGCTACACAGAGAAACCCTGTCTCAAAAAAAAAAAAAAAAAAAAAAAAAAAAAGAAAGAAAATAAACAAACAAAAACTCCCCAAAACAAACAAACAAACAAACAAACAAAAAACCAAAACCAAAGGAAAAGAAAAATAATGAATCTGATGTATATGACAGAGTGACCCAAGAGTCTGGGAACAGACCTTTAGCTGGTTAAAAGGGAGGGAGTTAGAACATTCACTAATTTTGTTAAAAACAACAAAATAACTGTTTTATATTCTTTCACAAGAATACTGTGGTTGAACAGTCAAATCGCTCATTGAAGTCTTTGAGGTTTTATTACTATGTTATTTTTCCTGATATTGTTTTGAGACGGTCTTACTGTGCCGGCTTGCCTTGAGTTTACTCTGTAGCCCTTGTCTGTGATCCACAACCTTGGAGGCTGAACCAGGAAGACTGCTAAAAGTCTCAGACGAGCCTTAGCTACAGAGCAAGTACTAGGAAGACCCTATCTCAAAAACAACAACAACAACAACAACAGCAACAACAACAATAACAACAAAGAAAGACCACAGTTTTAGACTTTAGGTTTGTTGATCTTTTTGAGACAGGCTCTCAAGTAATCCAGGCTGGCCCTGACTCTGTGTGTAGCCAAGGTTGGCCATGTCCTGATCCTCCTTCTTCCCCTAACCGAGTGGTGGAGTTATAAGTAAGGGTAGATATTATGCTTTGTTTTATTGTTATCATTTTTTAAAGTTTATGCCAGGTGATGGTGGCACACACCTTTAATCCCAGCACTCAGGAGGCAGAGAGGCAGGTGGATCTCTGAGTTGCAGGCCAGCCTGGTCTACAGAGTGAGTTCCAGGGCAGCCAGGGCTACATAGAGAGACCCCCGTCTCAAAAACAAAACAAAACAAAACAAAACAAAACAAAACAAAACAACAACAACAACAAAAACAAGCAAGCTTGTGTCTGTCATTGCTTTTGTCTTCTTTAGTGGTTCAGACAAAAGGGTTGGAAAGACAAAGGCAGAGGATCCCTATGCAGGTGGCCCGATTTCCAGCCCTGTCGTCTTTTTCTGTCTTGGTTTGTTTCAGGCTCACCGAACACACCTCTCCAAGTTCACATTCTGTGTCTTACCTTGGGCTACTTCATCTTCGACTTGGGCTGGTGCCTCTATTTCCAGTCCGAGGGTGCCCTGATGCTGGCTCACCACACACTCAGTATCTTGGGGATCATCATGGCTCTAGCACTCGGGGAGTCGGGCACAGAGGTCAACGCAGTCCTCTTTGGAAGTGAGATCACCAACCCCTTGCTCCAGATGCGCTGGTTTCTCCGTGAAACCGGGAACTACCACAGTTTCACGGGAGATGTGGTGGACTTCCTCTTTGTGGCTCTGTTCACTGGTGTGAGGATTGGTGTGGGCGCTCATCTCCTTTTCTGCGAAATGGTCTCCCCCACACCCAAGTGGTTTGTGAAGGTTGGGGGGATAGCGATGTATGCTGTGTCTTGGTGCTTTATGGTTAGCATCTGGCGCTTCGCGTGGAAGAAAAGCATCAAGAAGTACCATGCGTGGAGAAGCAGGAGGAATGAGGAGCGACAGCTGAGACATAATGGGCATCTCAAGACACACTAGCCAAGGCTTGTGCCTGGTAAATGGATTGGGTTGAATTGGCCATGGGATCAGGATCAGAAACAGAACCAAGCTTATAGAGCTTAAGAACTGAGATTCTAGTGCACTTAGGTTTCGAAAAAGGGCTAAATGTATCCATCGCTTTAGTCAGTTTCCAAGCTAGGCATATGCAGTATTGAAACACTCACTCCTACACTGGTACTTGCACATCCTCAATGGTGACTGGCAAGTGGCGTCGTATAGTGAGGGCCGTTGCCACTTGCTTTTGGGTCCCCTTGTTCATGAGAGGAGGCCTGCTAGATATTCAGACAGCTTTGAAAAGAACTTGAATCAAGTCAGTGCTGTCTCTTGTTCCTTTGGAAATAACTCCTGAGTTCCAGGAGACCTTTTAAATATGTTCAGCCCATGTGCTATAAAGGGAGGGACTTGCAGGAAGGGACATGCGTGTGACATTCAGGCATCTGCAATGGGATCTGTTTTGCCAAGAGGGACAGAAGGCCAGGAGGGAAACTAGCAATGTTTGCCAGGGGATTCCCACTGAGCCTCCCGACACTGACTGTGTCAGAGGTTCCCAGGGACACCCTTGGGTTCCATGATTCATCAGGAAGACGCGGGGCTTAGCTTATAGTCTCACAGCTCTGATTTGTGACAATGAAAGGCTACCGAGAAGACTCAGCCCAGGGAAGAAGGACCTTTGTCAAAGCCTGTGGGAGCTAGGAGTTTCTGAAGTCTCCTGTTTGGATATCGAGGAGTGATTCATGACAACACACATGAAAGCCATCAAAGATTTGGTGCCCAGGGCTTCTACTAGCCGTAGGTCATGTAGGCACCTACTTAGCACAAGACAACATTCAAGATTCCTCACAGCGGGGGTTAGTGAGCCAGGCTAAACCATTTCTGCTGGGAGCCCTCTCTAAGTTGCAGCTCCTAGGTGCCAGCCAAGGGCCAACATTACAAGCAGACCTTTGCAAAGGATAGCAGTTCAGGCCTGCTGTGTTAACTCTTGTGTGCACAGAAACCGTAGAGTTAAGGCTCTGGATGCAAGATGAATGAGGTGTGGGTAGATTTAGATTTACTTAGTCCTGTTGTACGGGTTCTGCCCTACCAGGAAAAGTATGCCAGTTCTCAGGGCTTTTGTGAATTAATCTGCTAGGCATGAGAGGCCATGGCTAAATTCCATGGGGATTTACCATGTGGATTCCACTGTACTTGAGATGGAGTTCAGGTTTCAGCTCCTGGTACATACTGCAAACTAGAACCAAAGATTTCAATGTACGTATTGGCCTCAGGGTGATGAGGCTATCTCCTTCCTTCCTTCCTCCCTTCCTTCCTTCCTTCCTTCCTCCCTCCCTCCCTCCCTCCCTCCCTCCCTCCTTCCTCTCCCTCCCTCCTTTCTTCCTTTTTCTTTGCTGCAGATCCATTCCCCTTTTATCGCTTTTTTCCCCCTCTCCTGAGATATGGTCTTGCTTGTATAGCTCAGGCTAGCATTGAACTCTCCTCCTGCTTAAGCCTCCTCAGTGCTAGGATTACAATCCTGTGCCACCATGCCTGGCTCTAATGTAGGGCTTTAATGAAAAAAGAAAGTATTATTTATGTATTTGTTATTTTTACTATATTATTTAGATCAATGGTGATTGGCTAATTCAGTTGGTAAGCCAGGAAATGGTGCTACTGAAGCAAGTGTCAGTCCATTCTCTAGTCACTGGTGACGCTAACCCAGTGAATGACCTTAAAATTGATGGTACTGGCTACAGAAACCAGTCATGGGGGAGAGGTTGGAAACATGTAGACATTCTTGCAAATGGAAAGGCACTTTAATGGTGGGACCTTTCAGGTGACTTTTATATAGTTAAAGGGGTTGCTTTGGACTCTGGGGCCTTTTTTTTTGTTTTCTGGAAAGATAGCATCATACCCCCTTTTCTATGATTTGTGTCCCAAACATGCCGGTGTGTTCCTTTCCAGCCAAACTGTGGGCAGAACTGGAAACTGGGGAATGCTGATTTCAGCAAAAGCATAGTCAAAAAGAGTGGCTTGGCACACGAGCATGAAGGAAAAACAAAACCAAACTGGCTTTTTATTTTGGCACTGTGCAACCCACTCCAGACCAGACTAGTGAGCAGGGTTAATCTAATACTGGCTCTTTTCTCCCTTACCCCTCAGAAGTAAAGACTGTAGATCTTTCTGTCTGAGGCAAACTCAAGGGAATGTAGGTTTTTCTTTATTTATTTTTTGATAACAAGACACCTGAACAAGTGGTAAGAGGAGGGGATTCCTCATCTCAGCTCTCCTTGATGTTCTAACTAGTAACTATGAAGACATTTCTCTTAGCAGACAATGTGAAGGTGACTCAGCAGTTAAGAGGTCGCCTGTTTTTACAACACAGGTAAATGAAGGGCAGATTAGTGTGATGTGTCCCCGGACAAAAGGAAATACTTGCATTACTGTGTAATCATCCCTGATATTGCTCAAGAAGGATTTATATTTCAATACAATTTGTACTAAATTTTATAAAAATAAAGTAACTTTTTATAAACCCAGAGTCTGCCTTTGTGTCTTTGTGGTGGCTTTGTCAAGAAAAACAGCCCTTGGCTTGTAGAAAGGTTGACATCTAGTCATACTTAGTGGTGACAGTAATCTGCTCTTTGGCATTTAATCATTCCTATTTTTTATGTGGAAGATAGCCATCAGCACACAGAAAATAGTTTGCCTAAAGAGGAAGGATAGCATTCTGATTTTGCCACCTGCTTGAGAAGTTGCCCCCTCCCCCTCAGGCTTCAGGCATGCTAGGCAAGCACTGTACCTCGGAGCTATATCCTCATCCCTGTCCCTCTCTTTCAGTGACAGGGCCTCATTTTGTAGCATAGGCTGGCCTGAAACTCACTGTGTAGACTGCCTCCAAACTCAAAGTAATTCTCCTGCCTCAGCCTTCCAAATGCTGGGATTATAGGTGTAAGCAAATATTTAGAACAGTCCTGGACACAGTAGGTCCTTAATAAGCACCTTGAAACAATGGATAAGAGGACATATGTGGCTTAGAGGAAGTCTCATTGGAAGACTGCATCTCCAGTGACTGGGTCACTGGTGCCACCTTCCTAGGTAAAGGGCTAAGTGTATGATCTAGGGTGCTGGCCTTGGTTTGCTTGGCTCTGCTGAATGTGTTCTATAGGTACATTTTTTTTTTAGGGCAGTGGAACAACTAACAGCTATAATGAGACTTTTTATCAGGATATTTAAATAAAATCAATGCCTTGTCAGTGGCTAGAGATTTTCATCATTGAAACAGTAGTTCTGGAAGGAATAACCACTGGTTATTCAGTCCCTTGCTGGCCATCTTCTGAAGCTTTCCCACAGCAAAATGCCTCCTTTGCTCACAGCTAGGACCTTGGACTTGTTAAATTTGGAAAGATGTTGAAAGCAGCTTGCCAAAAAGGTTTTGTATGCAAGGAAGAGAAGGTGAATTAGGAAACGTTCCCAGTTTGTTTTATTCCTGAAACTTAAGAATTGAGGCCGGACTGGAAAGGAAGATGGGAACTTATTTTTAAAATTCATGATTTGATGAGTCATCGGACTCCATTCATTTGATAGCTGCATTGTTAACACTATTAGAACAAGGAGGAGGAGGACAGCACACTCCAGGCAACCTGAGTAAGCTTGGGGATAAGGCTTGCATTTTGTTGATGGTATTTATGGAACTGTTTCCAGCTATAGGTAACAGACACAAGTGGTGTCTTCAGGATGGAATTGCCATGTTGGGATTTACCAGCAGATGGCAACGTGTCCAGGTCTGATCATTATGAAAGTGGCTTGAACTCGAATCTGCTTCTATTCTTTCCAAAAATAAACATTACAAAATTAGCTGACTGTGCCCTGAACTTAAAAAAAAAAATCCAGCAAGAGAGTCATTTCGGGCGTCTGTTTATCTTTTCCCCCTTTGTACCCTGTTCTAACGTCACCTTTAGCTCATGCATCTATTCAGGGATGATGATCCTTTCACCAACTGTTGTAGGGTGACTTGGAAACAGCATTATTAAGAGGTAACTGTTTCCTCTCCACATGCACTGTTTATTAGATTTGATTTCCACAAAATGGCCGAAGTCTCTTCCCACCGACACGGATTGAAGTCTAAGGATAATTGCATAAAAGGAATAGCCACTTGATGTTTGCAGGCAGAGCTGGAGATCTATATTGTGTCGTGGTACTTCATTTCTTCAGGGACAGAATTATTCAATCATAAAACTGCATGGGTAGCTGAATGCCTCTAACCCATCGAAAAAGAAACCGGAAAACAACATTTGGGAACTCTTCAAAGGGATCCCTAATGCTGTTTACTGGACAGATGTATTTCTTCTCCCATCTCTTTTCACAACAAGCTTATTAACTTGCTGTGGAAAGCACCATGCTTTCTCAATTTGGCAAATAATACAGTTCATTTTGCCAAGGCAAAACAGCCTAAAAGCAATATTTATATCAAGAACTCCTGGCTTCAGCGTGGTCCAGATCCTTTCTTCTCAGCCTTTTCTGGCCACTCCCGGCTGCAGGGCTAGGCCAGCAGGTGCCCCAGGTGTGTGGACCACCTCAAAACCTGATTGTGTGCGGGTCTGCCTAACACTGTCGCGAGGCACGTGGACCCGGGCTCGTGTGCTGCCATCCAAAAAGTATTTGACACCGGGAACGAGTACATTCCCTTAAAGAATAAAAGTTTCCAGTACAAGAGAGGCGGGGAGTTCCCTGAAGACCCTCTAGACGTGAACTTCGGGATTGTGGAATGACACATCTGCTGTCCCGCGTTGGAAGCTACTCTCTGGACTGGACCTCGAGGGCATTCAGGGACAGTGAGGACAGCGACTGGCGGTGGAGACGGAAGCAGCTTGCTTCTGCCCCGCAGAACTACTTTTCGCTCCCCTCCACCCCCTCCCGCCCCTTGACAGCGCTGCGCGGAAGTATCCGCGCAAGTTTGGAGAGTCCGGGCAGCGGAGGGATCCCGGGTGAAGCGGCTTCCCGAAGTCCCAGGGAGAAGGGCCCAAAAAAGTCGGCGGGGGAGGGGACGGCTCGGCGCGCTGCAGCCGCGCCGGGCCGAAGAGACAGAACCGGAACCGGAACCCGCGCGCGTGCCCGCAGTGCTCGCAGGGCCCGTCACCGCCGGCGGCCCCCCCCCCCCCACTCCGCCCTGCGCGCGCGCCCGCGAGTGCCCCTGAGGACTCGGCGAGCGGCCCTCCGCGCGGAGCAGCCGCCGCCGCCGCCGCCGCCGCCACCGCCGCCGCCGCCGCTCGGGGGCTGGGCTTCCGGGCCGGGCCGGGCCGGGACCTCCCGCTCCTCGCGGGAGCCGCCGCCTACCAGAGCGTCGGGGAGGAGCCGTCGTGCCACTGCGGAAGAAGCGCGGGGGCCTCCGAGGGATGGGGAGCTGCCCGCGGCGCTGAGACAGGGTCCCTGTCAGCGCGGCGGCCGGTGCCGGGTGGGGGCGGCGCGGAGCAGCTCAGGGCCCCGGCCCGGGGACATGGGGCGGCGCGAGCCCGTCGCGGGACGGCGTGAGACGCGGCGGAGGCTGCGGCCACGAGCGGCCGGCAGTCCCAGATAGAGCGGGGACCCAAGGGCCGGGCCCCGCCGACTCGGGACAGGAGGCGACGCCCGTCCCCGAGCCGATCCTACCACAGCCCGGAGGGATCCCGGTTCCCGTCCCAAGCCTCGCGACTTCCCTCTGACGAAGTTTTTTCCCCCCCCCCGTGCCTTGCTGAGGATCATTCCTCGTCCTAGAACTCGCCTTGTGGCCGACTTGCTCGGTTTGTTTGGGGAGATAACTTGTTTTGCTTCAGCCCGCATCCCTTTCCTTGACCCCTTGCAATCGGATGTTCTAGATGACTGAATGGAGTTTTGAGTTGGACTTTTGTGTCCCTGCCGAAAGTAAGCCTGATCCCAGAGCACTGGGGGTGGGGTGTGGAGGTGTTACTGTAAAATGCAAGTTGGATAAAAAGAAGACCTCTCGCCAAGGGCCCCAATGAGTGGCACACAGTCGACTATCACGGACAGGTGGGTATGAAGTTCCTCGGTCGCTAACCTTCCCTGGATTTGGCCCCACGCAGCAGGGGACTCGGTGATTGCAGATTTGCCTTCAGCTAGTGCAATTGACAGGCATAGGAAAGAAGGTTGTTTCGGAGCTGTGCAATTAGTCTAGGGTTGCTGCCAAGTTATCCGGTTGATTGAATTTGGAAATGCAGTTTTTTTTGTTTTTTGTTTTTTTTTGACAGAAACTTTCCCCATATTCTCAGAGGAAATGAAGGAAAACCATGATTGTGGTTTTCTGTCAGGTCCATTAGGATTGTGTACTCATTTTGGAGCCAGAGGAAGGTCATTTTGGGTGAAGGTCAGAGCCCGAGGTCGGTGGGTATTGGCGCATCATCAGGTTGATTTCTGTTCTGTGGAAGTTCTGGACTCTTAATTTTAGGAGTTTCTGTCTGTGAACCTAATTTTCATCCTGCTGCATGGTGATTTGTGAATCTGGTCTCTTTTTATGTGACCTGCACGGTGTTTAATTATTAATTACCCAATTTTCCAGAATGTTGACACTACCAGTAAATCACGGGCTCTTGCTGGGGACAGTTTCCAGGAGCTGAAGGAAATGAAGGAAAATCATGGAGCCTGCTTCTAATTATTCTTTTTTACATTTCATCTTCTAGACGCTCTAGCATTTAAAGATGTAAACCGAGTCAGGTTTAGGCATGGCAGGTGGATCTTGTTTGTTAATCAGGGTTTCATGGCGTTGTGTAAAGGATATGTGGCCAAGTGTAATTCTCTGACACTTAAGAGTTCTTTTGAGTACTTTTCAATGAAAGCAAGTTGGTTCCTTTAACATCTTTTATTTCTCAATTTAATTATGACATTGTATGTTACTTCCAAATTTTAGCTTGCTGTTTTTTTTTGAAGTCAACCTTCAGATTGTTGTCATTAAAAAAAAAACAAAACAAAATACAAAATAATTGAAGCAGAAGGCCAGAAGTCTTTAAGTGCAACAGTAATGCTCCTGCAGAAAGCAGTTTAATTTCCTAATGAGAGAGTCTCACCCAGTTGTGAGACTCATTTGTTGATTTTTAAAGGGGCCAAATTCCATTATCATACCATAACAGCTCCTCCAGAGCCAGAACTTCCTTTTCCTGTTGATGCTTTTCAATGTCACATGAGTGTTCACCTAAAAGATGCCCTTCAATATTTAAACTACTTATGTTTACCCTTTGTTTGTGTACTTTGCTAGGCAGGATTTCATTTTCAGTTTTCCTGCAGATATCCTTTACATATACGTAGAATTGTTTTCTGTCTTCCTGCCTCCCCATCCCTATTCCTTCTCCTTTCATGGTGTTTTGCTTCTGAGCAATCTCTCCCAGGTGTCCAGATAGTTGTTGTGCTGGTCCATTCTTGTTCTGTCAGTAGAGCCTATAGATAAGCAGACTTCCAGAAACTGATGTAGTCCTGGTTTTCATTAAGATGTTGCAGAGTTTAATTTGTAGAGACAGAATTTAGAGTCACCGAATCATTGCACACAAAAGTCAT